AAAAAAAAAAAAAAAAAAGAGAAAAAAAAACTAGTTGATATCTATCTGTTGACGATGATCATCGACAATCCAACAGCAAGAAAAAAAAGAAGAAATAGATACAGAACAACAAAACAATAACAAAAAAAAGAGGAAAATTTTTTTTCTCCTTTTTTAATATTCATTTGTTGACTGATTGACTGACTGACTGACTGAATGAATGAATGATTAACTGGAAAGAAAAGGAACAAAAGAAAAAAAAAAAACTTTTTGGAACTGGAAGAAAAAATTCTTTGTTTTTTTTTTGATGTACTTATTTATATTTCTTCCTTTTTTTCGTTGTTATGCTTATTCTTTGTAATGTGTAAAAAACATGTCTTTTTTTCTGAATTTTTATTTTTTATTTTTGCTCTTTTTTCTTTTGCTTTTTTAGATGTTATGGAGTAGTCTTCTTTTGTCTTCGTCGTCATTTTTGATAATTTTTTTCTGTGTCCTAAAGAATTACTCTATCTTTTTACAATCAGAAATCTTAAACGTTGCTCAGACGCAAAGTCCTCTTTTTTTTGGTTACTAATCGACATTGCAGGGGATGCCGAGAAAGAAATGATTGAGCTCTAAAGTTACTTCCTGAGTTACTACTTCCTGAGTTGAAATTTAGTTACTGTCTTTTTTTTTTACCTATTAATTATTCAGGGTAACAGTCAATCACTGGTAATGGTATAATAAGGGGAAGAAGACGAAGAATGAATAAGTGAAGAAAGAGGAAACGGTAGAAGAAGAAGGAGGTGGTGGAGGAAGGAGAGGAAGACAAACAGTTTTAGTAGGCGTACAACAAAGTGCTTGGAATTAGATGTTTTTTTTCCTCAATTTTCTAATGTTTTTTCTATTGCAAATCTTCTTCTTTCTGTTTTCGTCTAAAAGAACAAACTCAATTTATCTATCATAAATGAAGAAACAAGAAAAAGCCACAACCAACAAATATAAGGTGAAAGAAAGGCGTCAGCAGCGTCAGCATTAATATCAGTGGCAGTATTGGTGGCAACAGCAACAGCAACGACATTTTTAAAAAAGCATCAAGAGAAGGTAAAAAAAAACTCTTTCCGTTTGAATGTCACAAAAAAAAAACAGTGAATAGTAAAATTACATAATTTCTTACTATTATCTCAAGTTTTTCTCTGGTGGTGTTAACAGAAAAGTAAAAGTTCATTTTTTTCTGTCGTTGTTGTTTTTTTTTCTGTTATTTCATTTGAAACTTGTCGCATTTTTATCCTTCAATGCTTTTCTTTTTTCTTTTCTTTTATCATTTTTTTGGTTTTTCTTCTTTTCATTTCACTGTTATTCTAAAGGAGGAAAATAAAACAGCAAAAGAAAAAATGAAGGACCTTTTTTAAAATTCTTTACAAATGAACAAAGGAAACTACGTTCTGTTTTTTTTTTTTCAACTTTTCCGCATCTTTTTTTGCTGTGCTCAGCTTTTTGTTCTACTTTTTTTTTGTGCTGTTTCTGCTTTTTCGAAGAACCGAGAAAAAGTAACAAAAGCAAAAAAGTCTTTTTTTTTGCTAGTTTTTTTCGCTACTATTCTTTCACTTTTTTTGTAAATCAAACGAACATTTAGATAAATAAAAGCAAAAAAAATTTAAAATGTTTAATTTTTGTTCGGAAAGCTTTTTTTTCAGCGTTGTATTCTTTCGCTTTCTTTATCAAAATGAAAAAGTAGTGAAAAACAAGAAGAAGAGGACGAGGGGGTGGCAGTTGCGGTAAGAAAATGAAACGAGAGGGGATTAGAGGTGAGAAAAATTCTAAACAGAGAAACTCAAATTTTGTTCGTTTTTTCATCCCGTTAATGAACGGAGGAAACCGTTGAAGGAACAGAAGACGGGGTAAAACTAAACAATTGAAATCCAATCGAATGGACAAAGAAGATTTTGAAACAAATAGTGGAGGAAAAAAGCACGACCAAAGATTTAAAATTTTTTACCTTTTTTCTTGATTTTATAAAACTCTCTTTTTTCTGTCTTAGTCTTTTTCTCATTTTTTGATTAGTTTATGTTTGCTTTCTTACACCTCAAACATTTGCACACTAAAAATGTTGCTGAGTTGAAGTTGAATAAACTGCAACAGACGACGGACCAGGAATCTGCACATTAACTAATTGCCTGTCGTCATCAATGTTGCTGTTTGCTGCTCACATCAAATTCCTTCTCAGTTCCTTTAGCACAGTATTTAGGCGGATTAATGGACCTGACAAAGGCGAAAGCAAACTGTTTTTGTTCTTCTTCTCTTTTTTTCTTTCTAATTAATTAATTAAACAACTCACTGACTAATTGATTAACCAGTTACATTAATTTAAGATATATTAAGCTAAACTGAACTGAGCTGAAAATGCGCGCACACACACACACACACACACAGAGACATACCGAATTTACCAGTTTTTAAATGTTCGAATAAAACTGTATGTTCAGTTGTTTTATATGGTTGCCTAAGCAGCAATCAGTTCAAAGTCGCATTTCACGACAGATCAGATCAGATCAGCTCATCTGTATACTATTATTGTTGTTTTTTTTCACTATTCTGTAATATCCAACAACAATAACAACAGTTGCTGATGGGTACTGATGATTATTGAGCAAAAAAGAAAAGCGAAGCAAGAAGAAAAAAAAAGTAAGAGAGGAAAAAACGGAATATTTTTATTCAATTTACTGCTTTTGTTGCTGTTGCTGCTACTGCTTTTAAACCTTTTAGTCTCTCTCAACTCAAATCGTCATCATTCATTTGGTATTATCTTTTATCGCCAAAAATTCTCTCATAGTTCATATGCATATTCAAAAAGAACCGTGGTTTGGTGAAGAACTGCCAGTCTGTCGTCATACTATTAATGATATTTTTTGCCATAAAACTGCTAATACTTTTAAGTGATAAGTCTTAGGATATGGCAGTTTTTTTTTCGTTTTTCCTGATACGTTTATTTGTTGTAGTTTACAATTAATCGAGAAAGTTTAATTGCTATTTTGCTTACTTACTACTATAATTTTAATTAAAAGCTAAAAAAACGAAAAAAATTGGTATTGTAAAGAGGGCCAAAAAAAACTTTTGAGATGCCACCATCATTATTCGTTCGGTTCAAAGATCACTTTAAAACAAGAAATAACTAAGAGGCAGCAACAAGGAGAAAAAAAAGCTGTTTTCGCTTATTATTT